CCGGCCGTCCGGCTCCCCCAGATCATCAGCGAGCAGAAGTACCGGCAGCTGGAGAAGATCAAGACGATCGGCAGCACCTACATGGCGGCCTCGGGGCTCAACGACACCACGTACGACCGGGAGGGCCGGAGCCACGTCGCCGCGCTGGCCGACTACGCCATGCACCTCATGGAGCAGATGAAGTACATCAACGAGCACTCCTTCAACAACTTCCAGATGAAGATCGGTGAGCGAGAGCCCGCGGCCCTCGCACGCCCCTTCCCCCTCGCACGCGCTGGCCCTCGCACGCCTCTTTGCACGTGCGCGCCCTTCGTGCATCCTGGCCCTTGCACACCCCTTCCCCTCTTGCCCGCAGGGCCCTTCCGCCCTGCTTTGCGCGTGCTGGCCTTTGCACGCCCCTTCCCCTGCGCAAACCCTGCCCTTGCACGCCCCTTTGCACACCCCGGCCCTTGCACACCCCTTCCCTTCAGCACACGCAGCCCTTGCACGGGCCAGTTCTTGCAAGCCCCTTCCCCTGTGCCCGCTCAGCCCTTGCACACCCTGTCCCACTTGCAAGTGCAGCCTTTGCTTGCACTTTTCCATGCCCTAGCCCTTGCACGTGCCTTCCCCTGTGCACACGCAGCCCTTGCACGGGCCGGTTCTTGCAAGCCCCTTCCCCTGTGCACACGCAGCTCTCGCACGCCGCTTTGCACACCCCGGCCCTTGCACGCCCCTTCCCCTGTGCACACGCAGCTCTTGCACGCCGCTTTGCACACCCCGGCCCTTGCACGCCCCTTCCCCTGTGCACACGCAGCTCTTGCACACCGCTTTGCACCCCCCGGCCCTTGCACGCCCCTTCCCCTGTGCACACGCAGCTCTTGCACACCGCTTTGCACCCCCCGGCCCTTGCACGCCCCTTCCCCTGTGCACACGCAGCTCTTGCACACCGCTTTGCACCCCCCGGCCCTTGCACGCCCCTTCCCCTGTGCACACGCAGCTCTTGCACACCGCTTTGCACCCCCCGGCCCTTGCACGCCCCTTCCCCTGTGCACACGCAGCTCTTGCACACCGCTTTGCACCCCCCGGCCCTTGCACGCCCCTTCCCCTGTGCACACGCAGCTCTTGCACACCGCTTTGCACCCCCCGGCCCTTGCACGCCCCTTCCCCTGTGCACACGCAGCTCTTGCACACCGCTTTGCACCCCCCGGCCCTTGCACGCCCCTTCCCCTGTGCACACGCAGCTCTTGCACACCGCTTTGCACCCCCCGGCCCTTGCACGCCCCTTCCCCTGTGCACACGCAGCTCTTGCACGCTGCTTTGCACACCCCGGCCCTTGCCCGCTCCTTCCCCTGTGCACACGCAGCTCTTGCACACCGCTTTGCACCCCCCGGCCCTTGCACGCCCCTTCCCCTGTGCACACGCAGCTCTTGCACGCCGCTTTGCACACCCCGGCCCTTGCACGCCCCTTCCCCTGTGCACACGCAGCTCTTGCACGCCGCTTTGCACACCCCGGCCCTTGCACGCCCCTTCCCCTGTGCACACGCAGCTCTTGCACGCCGCTTTGCACACCCCGGCCCTTGCACGCCCCTTCCCCTGTGCACACGCAGCTCTTGCACGCTGCTTTGCACACCCCGGCCCTTGC